TTGGAGGTTGCTATGAGCTGTGATGCCACAGCACTCTACCCAGGGGGATAGCTTGAGGCTCTGTCTCAAAAAAAAAAAAAAAAAAAGAAAAAGATATTACATCAATCTGGAAAGAACATAAGATGTTCTTGACAAATTTTTAAAGAAATGAAAATTAGAAATTCATCTTTTTGTGTGTTTGGAAACAGTCTCACTCTGTTGCCCCAGGCAAGAGTGACTCACAGCAACCTCAAGCTCCTGGGCTCAAATGATCCTCCTGCCTCAGCCTCCTGAGTAGCTGGGACTGCTGCCATGACACCAGCTCATTTTCCTATTTTTAGTAGTGATGGATCTCACTCTTGCTCATGCCTCAGGCTGGTCTCAAACCCTGAGCTCAAGCAATACTCCCACTTTGGACTTCCAGAATGCAAAGGTTATAGGTATTAGCCACTGTATCCAGCCCTTGTTATTTTCTTTATATGTATAGATACACTTTTTTTTTTTTTTTGAGTCAGAGTCTCACTTTGTCACCCTTGATAGTGCAGTGCTATGGTGGGGTCAACTGCTCATAGCAACCTCAAATTCTCCAGCTTAAGTGATTCTTTTGCCTCAGTCTCCTAAGTAGCTGGGACTACAGGTGCCTGCCACAATGCCCAGCTATTTTTAGAGACAGAGGTCTCACCTCTGCTCAAGCTGGTCTGCAACTCCTAAGCTCAAGAAATCCACTCAGCTCAGCCTTCCAGAGTACAGCTCTATCCTCCTACCACTGCCATTTGCTCCTACCTCAGCCTCCCCAGTAGCTGGGACTTGCAGGCACCTACTACCACGCCCTGCTAATTTTAGAGAAGAGGTCTTGTGATTGTCTCAGGCTGTTCTCTAACTCCTGAGCTCAAGCAATCCACCTGCTTCAACCTCCCAGAGTGCTAGGATTACAGGCATGAGCCACAGCACTGGCCCTTTTTTAAAAAGTCCATTGAAGGGCCAGGTGCAGTGCCTCATGCCTATAATCCTAGCACCTGGCCTCAGCCTCTTTTTTTTTTTTTTAAGTCCATTGAAGGGCCAGGTATGGTGGCTCAGGCCTATAATCCCAACACTCTGAGAGGTCAAGGCAGGTGGATTGCTTTAACTCAGGAGTTAGAGACCAGCCTGAGACAATCACAAGACTCCTTCTCTAAAATTAGCTGGGCATGGTGGCAGGCACCTGTAAGTCCCAGCTACTAGGGAGACTGAGGCAAGCAGATGGCTTGAGCCCAAGAGTTTGAGGTTGCTGTGAGCTATGACATCATGCACTCAACCCCAGGGCTACTGAGACTCTGTCTCAAAAAAAAAAAAAAAGTCCATTGAGCTCAGTAGCCTATCAATTAATCATTTAAAGTCCTGTATCTGAGGCTCGGCACCCGTAGCTCAGTGATTAGGGCTCCAGCTATATACACTGAAGCAGCCAGGTTTGAACCTGGCCTGGGCCTGCTAAAACAACAACTGTAACAACAACAAAAAAATAGCAGGGCATTGTGACCGGCACTTGTAGTCCCAGCTACTTGGGAGGCTGAGGCAAGAGAATCGCTTAAGCCCAGGAGTTAGAGGTTGCTGTGAGCTGTGACATCATGGCACTCTACAAGGGACAATATAGTAAGACTCTGTCTCAAAAAAAAAAAAAAAATCCTGCATCTAAAATGACTCATACTGAGAGGGAATTTTCTTTCTCCAGCAATCTCCACCAAGAGTCAGCCTATTCTGCAAAATAGGTTATTCTATTTGGTTTGGAAAGTTACACAATAAATATCAACCAGATTTTTAAAGTCCTGCTTAATAAGTAAGTGCTATAGGACACAGGAGAAATGGCTTAACAAACCAAGTAAATCTCAGGAGTTACAACCAAAAACAGCTTCTAACCTTAAAATCACTATAAACCTGTTTCTATAAACATGGAAGAGAGGAATAATCTCACAATACCATGAGAGGAAACATGTGAGGACAATCTCACAATGCCATGCCCTACTAACAAAAACTTACCTTCCCAATCGGCAGTAGGTAGAACAGAGCTTGAATAAAAAACCAGAGGAGGTAGGCTCCAAATACTCTGGTTTCCCACAAACCATACAACTCTGACAACTGAGGAGGGAAACTGAGAAGACTGGGATCTTGCTGTTTACCCATCAACAGCAACAGGAAGAGGAAGACAGGCAGGCCAAGCATGATGAGAAACACACCTGCAAACACCAAATGAACATTCAAGGCTCAAATCTCAATCTAGTCTATTTATGTATTTAAAGAATCATTTGAGATTTTTTTTTAAGGTCAAAACTCAGGTCTGTCTGAAACCAACTTCTAACATACCAACTAAAACTCCTCTACCTGTTATTGCCAGTGGGCAAGTAACCAGGGGCATCCAAAGAGTAAATGAGAAGAAGTCCAGCACTGAGCAGCCAAGTCCCACCCCAGAGACCAAGCTTTAAAACATTTAACCTCCAAGCACAGAGGAGGAAATTGTTGAAACGCCAGCAAACAGAAGATCAAAACATCTAGAAATTATCCAATCCTAACAAAAAACTTTATATTACAAATTCCTAAGATAGTGTCAAATTCGTGTAACTTGTACACAGATTTTAAGTGATGCTGTAACAGACTAGCTCGTCAAAGGTTGCAATTTATAAAATACAAAGCAATTAAGCGATGCAGGATTTTGAGCCATTTACCCAAGTATTTTCTTTTACTAACTCATAAAATTTCATCAACTCCAAGGCTTTGTGAGATCTTTGCCCCTCACATACAATCAACCTGTCCAGCAGGTAGAACAGATACATTGACCCATTTCATGTAGACAGCGTATAGACACTGATAACTGCCCAAGCCAGGCCCTGCCATCTCAGGTCTGAATCTTAGCAGGTCTCCCCATCCCTAACAGGTCACCAACCTTACTACGCATAATTCCCAGATCAACCTTCCTTTATTACCTTCAACTTCTCTGCTTAAATCCTCTGAACAGAATGGCAAAAGTTTTCAATATAGCCCCAGGGGCATCTTTCTGCTCCAGACTCCCCCAAATGCTCCCACTTCTGGCCTTTGTACTCACTATTCCTTCTCTGGAAGGCTCTACCTCAGACTTCACCTGGCTCATCATCATAGCTACCTCAGACTTCTGCGGTGTGGCCTTTCCAATCCACCTTATAACAACTATCACTAGCCCACTCCACCTCCCCTTCCTGGCCCCAGCTCTGCGGCCTACCAGGTACTCCTCCAAATTCCAAGTTCTTGGTTGGTGATGAGGTCGCGTCAAAGGTTCTCAGTGATGTAAGTCCTTTCATAACAAGTTTTTCTTCCTTAGAATCTAGTTCTTTTAATTTTGTTTCTTCTGTTCTTGGACGTAGTCCATAGTGTGTTGATGTATAACCACTTTCTTGTGATAAGTGGAACTTTTCCTAATTGAAAATTTGTTAAGTATTAAATATCTGTAGTCAAAAATTACCATTAACGCTACTACATACCATGTTAATTAATTTAATATCTCCATGTAGTTGTATACTAATATACTTCTTACATTCAGTCTCAATTTAAGGGCATAATTTTAGAACAGATTATGAAATACTAGGATTTTCAATGTTTTTCTGGAGGGAGAGTCAATTTAACAGAAAAATAAAATAATCACCTGAGGTGAAAATGAACCCGTTCATACCTGGACGTTTCTATGAGGGGCGTCGTTCCTCTCCACGTGCTCAGGTTCCCCGTTGTATCTGATGACGCTATTTCCAAATGGCTTCTAAAATGAAGAATATAAACACTTTAAGCAAAAGAACTACATCTTATTAAAAAGGAACAGAATCATAAAAAATGTTATTACTGTCAATTTAAGCAATAGTCAACTAAAGATTTTCAGTCTTAATCCTAAAGAATTTCAGCCTCATTTTGTTAAAAAAAAAAAAAATTAAACTAGAATTTCCCAGTTTTCAAAAGATTGGATATTTCAGCTTTCATGTAACATAATCAGACTGAATAGTTATAATTTCATTGACAGATACTCTATTAATATTTGCTACGAGGAGACAGAGTAAAAATTACTAAATCAGTTCATTAATTGGTTAAAAAAAAAAAGAGGGAAATATGTTCATTACCCCAAAATAACCAAAACTAGGAAATTAAGAAACAGTGGTACTTATACAAAATATAGTCAGCCCAGGGCTCGACTGGTAAGGAGCAAAGCCAGTCTGTGGCTCTTGTGTCACTAAGACTATAATGAGATTGCACTGAAAAATATAGCAGTCCCTAAATATTAAAAATGAAAGTATAACAAAGTATCATGCAGCACCAGTTCCTCAGCCTGAGGCATCTGTCTGATAAGGAGAGCCACTAATGGTTACAGTGTTCAAACTCACTAGTAATTATCAAAATGCAAGTTAGAACAGTAAACTGAGGCTCAGCGCCTGTGGCTCAAGCGGCTAAGGCGCCAGCCACATACACCTAAGGTGGCGGGTTCGAATCCCCAGCCC